CATTATGAAGTTTTTCTTCCAGGGCAACTGCTACACATACTGAAGCCGTATTTTCCAGGAAGTGTCTGGACATGGGCTGCTGGTGAGAAGCAGGGAGTAAATATTTCATTTTCCTTTGCTTCTACACAAAGCCTTTGCTTTTGCTTTACTAAACTGTCTTTATTTTGATCCATGAGATTTTCCATCTTATTTTCTCCCCAACCCTGTCCTGCTGAGGAGGGTAGTGATAAAGCACCTGATGTCCAGCCAAGGTCAACCAACCACACCTTGATAAAACTTACCTAGGTCTGGAGGACTGAAGATAGAAAATTTTGGTTGGAATACCCTTGACATAGACTGCATATTTTCCCCCATGTGTGTGCTGTTCTCATAAGAAAACAAAGTCCTCACTGCAATAAAACTTCCTAATGCCTCTCTGATAGCAACAACTGCTTATCAGGCTTTGACTTCATATATTAAACTTGATTGTCTGTACCAATGGTGATTAGACCAAAGTGTTTTGAGCTCTTACTTTCTGAGCAACCTCTTGGCATCCTCTCTAAATAATGGATAAGGATTTAAAGCATTTTACCAACCGTGATCAGTAATGACAGTGAAATTTATGGCAGCATTATACCAGAAATAGGAGCAACTAGAGCATTAATTTGTCTTGAGAACTATGCACCTGGAAACACTGCAAGTCATGAGGGAGGACCACTGCAATTCCTGCCTTGTCTAAATGCAATCCTTTTCTAGGGTTTAGCTGTGCCCAACAGACAGAGACTCAATTGCCCCTTACAGACAGAGCAACCACAGACCAACCAGGGTAAGGCTGGTACTTCTAAAGCTGGTGTGGAAGGAGAAAAGGATGGAAATTGCTTGACAGAAGATCTTGGTACTTGTTCTCCCCAAGTGCAGGTTTGTGCAGTGTGTTGCAGAGAAATACACCCCCTTTTATTTTTACTAAAAGCCTGATGGCTCTAATGATGAAGAGAAAGGCTTTGAAGTACATCCTGCCCCATGGGTGCACTATGCACTGACAATTTTAACAACCTTTGTTTTAAAACAAGACTCCCTGGATTAACATACCATGTGTTGCAGTCCACTTTGATGGTTTCCCCAGGTTTGTAAAAGTGTCCTCCATGGACACATGGGCATTGATCTTTGGGAATACATCCTCCACTGCCATCCAGTACCAGTCCATCAGGACACATGCATCCAGAAACACATTCTGTGACATACTGCACATTTAAAGATACAAGAGAAGGCAACTCATTAATGCACAGGAAGAGCAGCTAGCAGAGGCGCTAGCTCTGGATGGCAAAAAATTCCTTAACTCTAAGTTAGTGGCAATCAAGCTACAAGTATCACAGCTACGTTGTTAGCTACAGCTGCTGCGTTACCAGTAAAGCAACTGCTCTGTGAACAGCTTGGCATGTTACCATCAGTGTTTGTTAAGGACAATCATACATGCATAGCCATGTTGTCCTATGTTCCTGCTAGGAGGTGAAGTCCTTACACAGTGCATGTCCTGCGTCTTACAACTTTTCTGACACTCTGATCCAATTGCACCGGGACCTGCAGAGCTGCAGTTGAAGTAATACATAGGAGCAGGGCAATCTATAGTAGAAAGAAAACATTTTAGGAAGGCAATTTAGTGAAAGCAATCAGGATGCCATCAGCAGTTGTAAAACTAACCAGAGCATTTCAGAGGGCAGTATGTATCGCTCAATTAAAGTTTCTAATAGCTTTTGCTACTGCCTACCAACAGTGCAGGGAGAAGAAGGCAGCTAACTTCTAAGCTTTGGGAAATATCCTCATCTTTTAAACAATGCAATAAGTCTGGTGACATTTTATGAAGACAAATATTATCAATAACCAGCACATTTGAGGGAGAAGAAAAAAATGTGCAGAAAACAAAAATGTTACAGAAAGTGAGCAATAACACAGACAAACATTGCAAATAGCAGTCAACACCATAATGCCATTATTTAACAAAATCTTACCTTTTACCAGGACAGTTTCTCCAATGCAGTCTAATCTTCCTTGAATGCATTTGCTAAAGAGATTCCATCAAATGAAACACATTATCTCTTTGCACGTTTCTCCCTCACTAGAGGAAGGCACTGCAAAGCTTCACTACTCACACGAAAACCAAATTCCTAGCAAAATGAATATTTGGTACAACTATCCATTACACAGATATGAATTACCATCCCCAGAAGGAAGATGAAGAGGCCCAGCTCTTAAATGCTCTCCCTTCATCTGCCACAGGTTTACTGTGTGTTTTTCCTAAATCAAGTTTTTTATAAGCATCTGTTTTCCACTCCATGACATAAGCCTAATACTTTCCTAAATAAGAGACCTCTCAAATTATTAAATGAGTCTGTGTTTAAAAATTAGTCTAGAATCCTCAGTGGGAAGACAGAGAGAGAGACAGAGAGTATATAAACACCTAAAGATAATAAAACAGCCTTCCCTTGGTATTTGTTTGCATTGCTGCCCTAAACTAGTTGAAAATGAGGAGATGACAATTGTTTTTCCCTGCAGATGCAAATTAATTTTGCTATTTTTAGCATTTTCCCCCAAATTTCTGTCTCTCTTGTTTTAAAAACTCAGTTTAAAAACTGAGATTTGGGATTCTTTTCTGGACCACTTTTATTTTTTAAATAGTCTGCAGGATGATGTGTTGGAGGGTGGTTTTTCCTTTGCCTTTTCATTTCAAAGCCTGAAACTCTCCCAAACCTTCTGTCTTCTAGAAAACTTGCTCTGGATACTTTTTACAGAATAATGAACTTTGCATAGAGATAGATTACAAATTTTGCTCTACTTAACATGTTTTCAGGTTCTTGTTTGCTATCAGGAATATAGGATCTTAACCTTTGCTGTGGCTGCACTTCCTGCCAGGGGAATATTTGCTTTGGTGCAATCTAGGAGTAATTTGTCATTATTTCTTACTCTAAAATCTAAAATTATATTATTCATGGATTGGAACAGAGACTTCTCCAGTGAGCCCTGATGCCCCCAGGCATGTAACAGCCTTTGCATCATTAGAGCAGCTTACCACATCAGTTTGTCCTCTTGGAAGGAGTTGCCAGGCTGAACAATCTTGCCCTTGTAGTAGCAGGGACAGTCATCTGGAGTTACACATTCCTCCTCATCATTAAGGTATGTCCCTTGGGGGCAACCACAGCCCTCCATAGGAGCAATGTGAACGTTGCACAGCGGATCAGGTTCACCCAGTGAGCGGCAAGACTGGTTACAGTACTTCATGCTATAGTTATAAACCATAGTCTCAGGACAGTCCTCAGAGGGATCTTTGCAAGAGAAATAAAAGGGATGTATGGCCTTCTTTGTGAAATCATCTCTCATGTTGTTAATACAGCTTTCTGCACATTGGTATCCATAAATGTGCTTTTTTCAAACTAGAAGACCTTGTCTCCCAGTGTTCTGGGGGAAGTCTGCTTACATAGCCTAAACTATATAGTACTGAATACTGAGATACTCAGCAGGATATATCTTGACTTGATAAGGAAATCAGCATAATTTTGTAATTCATACCATTTACATTTCTATCTTATGCCAAGAGCTGAAACCAATAACTTTGGGCTTGTCGATGTGGTTAAAAACTATTTTTCTGAACTTAACTAATGATTTCTTTGGCTGGGAATAATTTTTTTAAAAAAAGAGTATTTTGTAAGAGGAAAATTTTGATGTTAAATGGGCAGTGACAAGGAACTCTGCTAATCATGTGATACTACCAAAGAAAGTGTGTTTCAATCCACATAGATATCTTGAGGAAAACTCTCATCATTCTCTGGGGAAACGAGAAACAACAGTTTCTAAGACTTCTGAGTGAACCAAAGAGTTAAATACCAAAATCTAAGGAGCTCAACTCACCCTGTAAACCAGTAAAAAGCTGATCAGTTTTCACAGGCTGCCAATATATAATACCTTGAAAATTCTGCCATAAAATCTGCCATAGTGAACCAAAGGGATGACGTCAAATTTTGTCAGAAAATGTCATCCACGTTAAGACTGTGCTTTTCAAGAAAGCCTAGCATCCAGATTCCTCTAAATTTCAATAAGCGCTGGGCATCTAGTCATTTTGTACCACTTTCTAACTTATATCTGCAGATTTACCCCCCCCAAGCTGTTCTTCAGATACACATAGATAAATCCCTGAGCTGTTCTTCAGATACACATAGATAAACTAGAAGGTACAGGGGAGTTGATCATGGCCAATTGCACTAATCAACTTTGCAGCAATGACAACAACATATTGGCAATAGGTTCAATGTTCAAATAAAGCTCCGTATTGTTTTCCATTCCATGACCACAGTACACTTTCTTAGATTAGGTAGTGTGCTAGGCTTGTGCACACATTCAAAACCTTTACCAACAAAACCCAGTTGATTTTCTGGTTGTAGCTGGAGCAAACACAATATTCTGTGAACAGATCAGGAAACCCATATTTTTCTACATTATAGGCATTCTATAAAGAGGCAGAAACTGATATTTTTAAATCAAAGCTACAGATCAGGAAACCCATATTTTCCTACATTATAGGCATTCTATAAAGATGCAGAAACTGATATTTTTAAATCAAAGCATGCCAAATGAGAAAGTTATTAATAAAGATGTTGAGCATGAATTTGTATCTGTCTCAACTGGTAGCTAATAACACAGTAAAATAATGTGTTTACTGTCTCCCCGTACTTTTTTTGTAGAGGAAAAAGAACACTTTTGATAAAATGAGATCTGGTAAGAGAAAGGTTATTTGATTATAGCACTCATGGTTACAGATTTGTCATCTTAGATTATATACATCGCAATTGGAGGCAAGAGAACAGAGAACATGAGCATACCAAAGCTAGCTTAAAGCCAGCTTGTATAAGGAGCATCAGAAAAGCAGTGCCATGACTTAGCAAAGACTACTAGCCCAAATGGTCTACTGGTTTATGCCTCTGTTAAAGACTGTGCAACATATATGCACAGCCAACAATTAGCTGCAATGTAGACATCCACATAGGATACAAACTGCTTTGGATGCTGCCTGCAGCTTGGCAGAGTGGATGCAGCTTCAAGATCTGGAACAGACTTTTCAACTCACACATTAGGACAGAACACTGGGAGTGACTGTCATGGCCTGTTTATTCTTTCCCTTGTGAACAGTGCAACCTTCACTCTTATCAGAGCCATGTTCCCAAAAGACTATTTCTTCTTAAATAAGGCCTAAAACAATTGTGCTGATTAATCCATTAGCATTTTTTCCCAAGGTTACTGGACTGTTTGAGTCAATATTACCTACTGTGCCTTAAGCCCACAGATTTCAGTCAAACCCATGCTGCAAACCAGTCTTGATTTGTCATAAAAATGTCAGCAATTCTATGCTGGGAACAAAGCTTTCCATAAACAGTGGCCATGTCTAGTACATAAATCTGCATGATTATAGGAAAATTTGCTGAGGACTCACTGTGTTCCTTTGCATTATTTCAGCACAGGTTTGTGAAATTGCTCTTACTGCAACCTCAAATGCCTTTGACAATGCACCATACTGGTTACATTGCTCGTCTCTATCAAGTATCCCAGTTAGCCTCTAAGTCAGGCAATTAAATAGATCACAGTTGCATCAAAGCTGCATAAACTGTTGTTATGTTTTCTGTTCATATGTGTTTGCAGTCAAGAAACCCATACATCTATTTTCATGTTGATAGCAGCAAATCTCACTTGAACTATCTGACCATTAATGAAAAAAGGGAAATGTTGGAGTAAAATTCAGAATCTGAGGCTTGTGACTTTTTTTCACAGTTCTGATACCATCTTATAATAAATTCTAGCATATGTGGACTCTGAATTCAGGATTCAATGACAATGTGTGTGTCCAGGAAACTTTTGTTCATTTGTGAGATAGTCCTGAGTTGAAAGTGCCTTTAAACACTTTCACATTCTCAGATATCATCAATATATATTTATTTTTAAAAAATTAGTATTTTACTGTCAGATGGAATGAGAATGGTATAATTTGCATAGGGAATGTTTGAGACGAGAGGGCTGAATGTACTACAAAAAAAGGCATCAGAATTCAAATACATGGGGAAGCCCATGGGTTAAAAGTAACCTAATTGCTAACTAAAAAAAACCCAACTCCTGTTTTGATTTGATGAATATGCCTTATACTATTTTACTTCTCTGAGTACTGAATTTATCTAATATTTTACACGTGGAACATGCATCATAAGAGCTTGAAGTGGCCATGAACTGATTTGGAAGCCAGAAGAATTTTACAGAATATAGGCTTTTTCTATTTTTTGAAGACCCTCTAACTTGATGACTAAATACAGAAGGTACTGAGTGTCACAGGCTGGGCTGTCCTGAAGCTGTTCCCCCATATCCCTACCCAAGGTATTTTAGGACACATACCACAGATGCCCTGCCTCCAGCCCTTCAGGGACACGCCTGCTGAAGCACAGTCTCTGGCATAAGTAGAGAGCACACTACACAGTGCAACTTCACTCTTCTCAGCATTACAGGTGTCATACATGCATTTCTAGAGGATGGAAAAGAACATAGGTACTACTATGAACAGCTCACAGAAGAAAAAGAGGGAAACATAGCAATTCAAAAAGTAATCAATCAATGTATTTTTTAAAAAAAACACTATTGTTACCAAAGAAACTTAGTATCCCTAAAGAAAATGTGTGCTAATGAAATACTGTGCAAACCTGAGAAAGAGGAAATCAATTACAGAAACTGCAATAATATTATGTCTAACACTCATGAATAGATGTATAATGAGGAAGATAAGGGCACCTATAGTTCATTAAAACACTAAGAGATGTCTATACTAGCTTCTCATGGGGATGTACAATCTAGGACATGTCAAAATACATCATCTGAAAATATACATACCTGAAAATACTTCACAGTGATGAGCGGCACTTGTGTAACCACAGTGTGTGGTAAGATACACCCAATTACATTACAGATGCGTATCAGTATATGGTTTAATTGGGAGTCACATGCAATGACATTTTAAGAACTAGTTATGTAAGTAAAAATGGAATTTAAAGCTTGAGTTCTTCTAGTTGGGTGGCTGGACACAATCACAGAATCATAGAATCAACCA